TTTTTTTTTTACTTTAGAAAGAGATTGACTATGACCAATAACAATTTGTAAACTAACAACCCAAACAATGACAAATATCCATAATCCATATTTTGGGAATGTGGGTGTAGTTTTTTAGGCTGCTTCCTGCTGATTGAGGGCACTGTATTCTTACAGGGATCCTGAGAAAATTAAGAATTATAGTTAAATCTTGGCTGTAGTCTGTGAGGATGGATTGTCTCAACTAGTTGCTTTGAAGCTGATTTTTGGATGTTGGATGATTTAGGCCATGGTGTCATTGGTGACCTTTCAGGGGGTCTTGGCTAATCAAATCTGATGTATCTTAACCTGGAACAAATCCATAGCTTCTTGCTTTCTGTGGGAACAAAAGCAGAGCCTCCTTTCCAAAGCAACATATCCTTATATCCAAATTTTGAAGTCAAGATACCTTTAAAATATACATATTGGTTTAACTGAGCAGCCTTTATAATCAAATGTCTTTCTGCAGTTAAAAATCCCAAAGACAATATAATCCAGACTCTCTGTATGACTTCCATCTTTATGTGGCTTATTTTTATATTACTTTTACTGTCCCTTTAAAATATTTTATTTTTTAAAACTATTTCTTTATATAATTGTCTATATTCATTTTCTTCTTTCTTCCAAGCCTATGTACATTTTTATACACATTGTAAACCGTTTAAGATCTTATTCTATCTGAATCTGCCTTGTTGTGAATCTATTGCTTTAAAGTGCAGTGGTTAGTACTGAAGCAGCAGCCTTACCTGTTGACTCTGCCCATCTCAGCTTTTCAACATGGTGGGGATAATTCACTGCCAGCTCTGGGAACCATGCTGTCTGTTGACTATGGGAAGCAGTGGGTCTATGCTTCCATCCAGCAGTGTGTAGTCCTGAAACCTCTTTTTTCTCCCTTGTACTAGCAAAAGCTAAATTTGTCACAATGCAGTGCACTGTGCCACTTGGAGACACCACTGGTACTGTGGCAGAAATCTACTATGCTGCACTCAAACCCACACATCACTGAGAACCTGCCATACTGTAGCTCATGGATGGCCTGAGAGACACAACTAGGAAGCTGTTTTTAGCTCTGTTTTAGAATCTTTGTTGTTTTTTAGCTTTCTCACGTTTTAGGTGGAAACACTTGCCCCATGTTTTGGCACCATTTGTAGCTGAATGTTTTCCTGGTTCTGTCCGCCTCCTGTGGCCCCATGGTCTGCAGCCACTCAGACCCAAGTAAACAGACTGGCTTATATTAATTAAAACTGCTAGGCCATTAGCTCAGGCCTACCACTGACTACCTCTTACACTTAATTTAAACTCAGCCTATGTCACCATGTGTTCCGTGGCTTTACCTTTGTGCCATTACATGCTGCTCCCTGGATGGCAGGCTGGCATCTCCTGACTCAGCCTAACTCTTCCCAGAATTCTCCTTGTTTGCTTATCCTGCCTATACTCCCTACCTGGCTACTGGCCAATCAGTGTTTTATTAAACCAGTGTACAAAAGCATTATCCCACAGCACCATATTGTTATTGGGAGTGGAAGAAAGAACCCGCTGTCTTTATTTCCTGTTTGGAAGTTCAGCAGTATGGCCTGTTTCTTCGAAGTTCTAGGGATCACTAATTCAATCCTCAGTCTCCTGAGCACTGGGATGACAAGCAAGCACCAGGTCAGCTTAGCCATACTTCTCGATAGCTGCTGTTTGCTGAGTGTGCTGGCTGACTGAGAGCATGAGCCTCTCTCTCTCCAGGCACTGGGATGGAAGGGAATCGGGATTTCAGGGTGTGCCTCCAGGCATCTCTGAAACTCTCTGTGCAGAAACACATTTCCTCAGGGCCTCATTTAGACATTTGGACATTTTATGTACATCTTAGTCACTCTGCTCTATTCCTTTAGACGCTTTGCTGAGAAACTGAAAAAAGACAGTAAATATGGAAACATTGCTACCACTGGGAGAAGAAACAACATCCTCAGGTGGATCTTCACTGAACCAGCATCCTCAAGGTGGGTCTTCACTGTCTATGTGGCTGACCTAAAACTCCAGAGCAGCACAGAACTACTGAGAGAAAAGCCACAGATCCTGACCCTGGGCGGGAGAGGAACTGCCGCTGCCACTGCTGAGCAGTACAGAGGCTCAGGATGGCAGGGAATGAGACATGGCTGCCTCTCCCAACTTGTCTTCTTTTTCTCCTTCTGACACTAGAACTGTTTTAACTCTCCACTTTGGTTTTGTATTGCAGATTGTAAATCTTATTTTAGAAAGGGCTGAGAACCTAAAGTGCCAGTTCCTACAGAGGCACACCAGGGAATATGAACAACACCTGGCAGATAAGGTCAGTGTGGAGATCACAGAGACAGGAGGATTTTGTGTTGGCTACTCAGCCTGTGCCTGGGACTGTGCTGTGCTGCACCAGCAGAGTCTGTAATTCAATGGACTGGCTCACTTGCACACACATGTTCAGGCAGCCACAGAAGCCCCCAACTGCCCTCTACAAAGTGCAGTGGGATACTGAGAATATCAGGACTTAGCTGTTACTGAAGTCAGCAACTGAGGAAGGGGTGGTGGCTGTGCTTCGTGGCACCAGGGTTATGGAGGGGCACATGGACTCTGTGCTGAGATGTCAGGCTTGAAAAGATGACTTTGGTCATCTCTGTGCTGACAAGGCTTTTTCATCTAAGATTTGAAGTATTGGTATCTTAGTTATGGTTTCTACTGCTGTGAAGAGACACCATGACCATGGCGACTCTTATAAAGGAAAAAATTTAATTGAGTGGCTTACAGTTTCAGAGGTTTAGTCAATTGTCATCATGGTGGGACATGGCAGTGTGCAGGCAGACATGGTGCTGGAGAAGAAGCTGAAAGTTCTACACCTTAATCTGCAGGCAACAGGAAATGAACTGTGTCACTGGGCATAGCTTGAGCATAGGAGACCTCAAAGTCCATACCTGCAGAGACATGCTTCCTCCAATAAGATCATACTTATTCCAACAAAGCCATACCTCCTAATGGTACCACTCCCTATGGGGGGACATTTTCTTTCAAACCACCATAGTTATCCTGAATCCTTTTCCTTTTCTGTAGAAGAAAACAAAAAGAAAAGAAAGTGGTACAGAAAGCTGCTTTCTGGGAAGACATAAAGACTATTCTACAGAAAACTTCAGAAGTATTTGCCAAGGGGATCTCTCATCCAGCCGGGTCTTTGGATGGTGGTGAAAAAAATAACAGTGAGGAGGTGGACCGTGGTACAGCATGGTCATCTACAAAGGCTGAAGTCTCTTCTGTAGGAACCACACCTGGCAAAACACTGTTGGTGTGGCCCAGAGGAAGCCTCTGATGAGTTAGCGCCCAGCACATCGGCATCAGCCACTCAGCCCGGGGAAAGTGTGATGCTGACAAGGCCAGGTTAGTCACCACAGGTCCCTGACTTGGAAAAGACTGGTGTAGAAGTGGTCCCCATTGCGTCTGGGTCAGCCACACAGGAGTGAGCCTGGAGCTCACTGGTCAGCTGAGGCAGTGCCGGTGGACGGTGTCTGGAGTCTGGAGCACTGAGCACCACAGAGAATGCTGTGTCCCCTTGTCCACGTCCTCAGGCTTTTGCTCCGTGATCCACTGACTCTGCTGTGGGGACAGAACCTCGTGTGATGAGTGCTGTATTTGTGTGTCTTGCTACTCTGTCTTGTAAAAATGGCCTTTAACTTAGGCTAAGCCAGTTCAGTTCCTTCAAAACTTGTTGGAAGTCAGACACTCATCTTTTAAAATTATTATTAAATTTTTTATTTATTTTACATACCAACCACACTTTCCCCTCCCTCCTTTCTTCCCATTCCCCTCCCTTCCCTCCTTTCCACACCCCCACCATCCACTCATCAGAAAGGGCAAGACCCCCCATGTGAGTCAACAATGCGTGACATATCAAGTTGAGGCAGGACCAAGCTCCTCCCCCCTGCATCAAGGCTGAAGGAGGCATTCCACCATAGGGAATAGGTTCCAAAAAAAAGTCCTCTCGTGTGCCAGAGATGGATCCTGGTCCCACTGCTAGGAGCCCCACAAACAGACCAAGCTACACAACTGTCACTCACATGCAGAGGTCCCAGGTAGGTCCCATGCATGCTCCCTTGCTGTCGGTCTAGAGTCTGTGAGCTCCCACGGGCTCAGGTCAGCTGTTTCTGTTGGTTTCCCCATCATGACCTTGAACCTCCTTGCTTGTATAACCCTTCCTCCCTCTCTTCAGCTGGACTCCTGGAGTTCAGCCTAGTGCTTGACTGTGGATCTCTGCATCTGCTTCCATCAGTTACTGGATGAAGGCTCTATGATGACAATTATAGATTACAGGAGAAGGCCAGTTCAGGCACCTTCTCCACTATTGCTAGTAGTCTAAGCTGGGGTCATCCTTGTGGATTCCTGGGGTTTTCCCTGGCACCAGGTTTCTCCCTAACCCCATAATGTCCCCCCTCTATCAAGATATGTCTTTCATTGCTTTCCCTCTCCGTCCCTCCCCCAACTCAACCATCCTGATCCTTCATGTTCCCATCTCTCATCCCTCCCCCCTTTTCCCTCCTGCACCACCCTCATTTTACCCAGGAGATCTCATCTATTTCCCCTTCCCAGGGGGGCGATCCATGTATCCCTCTTAGGGTCCTCCTTGTTACCTAGTTTCTCTAGGGCTGTGGGTTATATGTAGCCTGGTTATCCTTTGCTTTACATCTACTACCCACTTATGTAGGCACTCATCTTTTAAGAGCTCTGTAGAGATTTGAAGAATCACATTAAGAAAATACGGAGTCATCTGTCACAAGGAATATGTTGTGCACTGTTATTCTTTGAAAGTCAGACTATGGGATAATCTTGTGTCACTGGGAGAGATGTGAAGGTAAGAGAATTTCCGTTGCATGAGATTGTTCTCAGCATTTGGTAGACCCTCAGAGGAAATCCTCAAGTGTAGCCAGGGAGATGGTGACTCCGTGGATGAAGCACTAGCGGTGACGGTGTTAGGACCTGGGACAGAACCTCCAGAAAGCGCATGAACACAGGGGAGCGCTGGCCACCTCTGTATTCAAAGTTCTCTCAAGGTGAGGGGATGTGGAGAGAGGAGAAGCCCTGGCTTCTGACAGCACAGCCAGCAGGGCAGACACAGCAGCACAGAAGAGACTCTGTTTGACCAAAACGTCAGGGAAGGACAGCACTCGAGGCCGTCTGCTCACCTCCGCAGGTGTGCTGAAGCACCTGCCTGTTCTTGCTCACACATGAACGCACATTTTCAAAATAGACACAGATCATCAACACATACTCACAGATCACACCTAAAGGATTAAAAAGGGAAATCTACAAATATCTAAGAAATATAAAGTTCCTAAATACCTTAGCCAAATTGCTCGTCATTTGCAACTCCTGGTTTTGTAGCCAGAATAATCCTGACTTGAGGCCATGGTGCCTCAGCACGCAAATGCTGAAATTCCCTGTGTGCATCACTAGGGCTGGCTTTTCAGAAGTTTCTGAAGTATTGGTTGATTCTTGTCTTGCTTTGCATCAGTCAAAACCTCTTCTTGAATGAAGAGGAGCTTCAATTCAAATCACAATGCTCTGTCTTAGTTAGACCCAGGTGAGAGAGTCAGCCTTCCCCCGACTCGAGCCCATGCTCGAGTGGAGCCAGGAATCCACACACTTGCACAATGCCATGAAGGAGCAGGAGGAAGCTGTTCAGTTCCTATTGGTCTGGGAGAAATAATCAGGGAAGGGTTGACTGGTTCCAGCTAAGTTGATATCTCTGGCCCTGTGGCTTTGCTGGCCTTAGGGAACCATCTTCACCCACAATTGCTTGGGCTGCAGCTTTTCCAGGCTTTATGAACACATGGATCACCCTGCAGTTCTGGGGTCTCAAGGGTCTCCCCATCTCTACAACATTGCCCTATTGGGGATAGTCTGTGGTAGTCTAACCTTGAGACAAGCTTCTCTGTGTGTTTCCAGGCTGTATGCAACCTCTTAAAATTTCGTGGTTACTCATGAGAAACCTCTCATGGCCTCACAGCTCTTGGGGAAAATGGTCTATATGGCCGAGCATCTCCCAAACATGCTTTCTAGAGGTGGTAGCTCTGGAATACTGGTTGTTTGGCTCTGTCCACATTTGAAAGGCACAGAGCATGGAAGCCACTTGTGTGAGTTTAGGCCTAAGGCAAGAGCTAGGGAAACCCAGGGAAACATAAGCCTGCACCTTAGAGTCCAGAGACCAGCAGACCTGGAGATCTAAGGACAAAGAAAACATGTCTGTTTCAGGAGAGATAAGCAAAGTTTTTCTTTTCTCTTGTCTGTTTAGTTCCCAGAAGTCTTCATGTTGCCCACCTGAGTTGACCCCTCTCAACTTTGCCCACTGAGTCCACAAACCCACACAGAAAGTTTTTACAATTAAACTCATAATCACGTCCAGAAGTATTGCTCCACTCACTCAAGCTAACAGTAAAGTCCATCATCACAGCTCCCTGTCAGCTGTGGCCAGAGCTTTGTGGTTCTATCATGGGGAGGGGACTCATGGAGAGAACCCTCAGGGCTTTGTGTTTTTCTCCCAGGCTGCCAGGCCGAGTTCTGCTCAGAGACACCAGGCCCCTGTCTCCTCAGACTTTTCTCTCTTGTCCATTGCAGTTCAGAGTCTCAAGGGCCTATGCCCTGTGGTCATTCCACAAGATTTGTACAACCAGAACCTCCATTTTGCACCAAAGAACACCGAGAGAGAGGAACAAACACACATGGTATCCTTTGTGGTACACTGATAAAGATATGAAAACTTCCTGATCTAAGACTGTTTCTTCCCCCTCGGCTGCCAGTGACTCTCCGGAAACTATCCAGGGTCAGAGTCTGTATATATCACTCCACAGAATGAACAGGGGGTAGAAAGGCCTGGGTACTTTGAATTTGATGACTTCATACTTGGCTGCTTTTCAGAGACCCTTGAATTATCAATTTGTTTCAATGTGACAGTTAGAAATATTCATTCTTCTGGTAGCTAAGGCCAGTATTCCCAGCCCTTTGCAAACTGAGACCAAAGGCTTCATACGAGGTCAAGGCCAGCCTCTGATGGAGTGTGAGACATTGTCTCACAGGAAAAGAAGGCAGGCAAGCAGGCAGACAGGCTGGCATGAGGCAGGAAGGCTGGCTTGTTGACTCATTCTAAATAGAGGACTCAGGTTTTTTTTTGTATCCTGTTCTGAGCTCCTCCTGAGTGGTGGCCTGGGGACATAAATTATCTAAGGTCTTCGTATGTGTCCATAAAGTGTGCAGTCCTTTGCAGAGATGGAAGGAACCCTGGATAGAGAGAGTGCTGAGCAGTGTGTTCACTAGGAGATGTAGGGACTGTGAGGAAGGCAAGGCCACGCTTGAACCCATTCCTCATTTCCAAACAAGTCAAGGAGTCATGCAAAGCAAACCTCACCTTGATGTTAATGAGGAAGCTGGAGCAGGGAAGCTGCTTTAGGCAGCCAAGGGGTGGGGCTCCTTCCAGAACACTTCAAGAATGCTGAGCAGGCCAGCTAGGCCTAGCATGTGCTAGGGGGACATCTCAGGTTCACCTTGGCATCTGTGGCTTAATACTGCACCCCAGCAAAGCAGAACAGCCAAGGCTGTGAATAACTGAGGTGACGGAGAAAGATGAGTGTCATTTACTTCCGGGGGGCGGGGTGTTTCACATGTGTTATGAGTGGGACTGAGAGCGCCAAGAGATTGTGACAAGTTGTTTTCTATTGGCAGGTGAGAGAGGAGTAAATCATAACACATGTGATTGTCCCAGAGCAGAACAGAGGGCCTGAGCGTTGTCACAAACAGAACAAGGAAGATCTTGACCTCCTCTCTAATGGCAGCTCCTCCTATCTCCTAGAAGGACACTGGCCACGTTTCTCTGTGAGCAGATTTCGCTCCAGATCACCTGTCTCTGAGCATATACAGTCACTAGTGTTCCAGTGTTGAGTCAAAGGAGCATTTGCTTTTCTAATTTTATCTGTTACTAAAAGTGACTCTTCAAAGTTCCAATTCCTTGTGAGTCTGCGTGGTGACAAGTAGCTTGCTTAGGATGTATGTGGATGCAGTATAGAGACCATGTACTGTAGAAGTGGGAGTTCATTCTCTGATGGGTGCATTTTGTTTTTATGAAGCAGAACTCTCCTTTTGCACACCCATATGCATATTTTCAAGTGTTTGCACATGCCACACATTTTGGGTGTCCCTGAAAGCATTATGGCCAACAGGGAAACAATCCAGGTAAGGTAAAATGAAATTTGGGTTCAGCTTGACTTTAGTTGGCCAGCACTAGGTCGAAATTTCTGGAGTCTGACGTCAAGCAATTTATTTCTTACACATTTAAACATAGTCAGACTTTGGGGAAAAGTTTCCATGTGACACAAAGCTTCATAGCAGCACCTCATACATGTCAGATCAATTATCAGTCAAAGCTCTTCAGTTTTGTTTTTGTTAAAACAATCCAAAGGAGAAAAGCATTCTTCAGGGCAAGCTTCACGTCAAGTTTCTGTCAAGCATGAAGTAGGAGAAAATAAGCATGTGCTAAAAGTCCTTTGCCACATTATGTGTTCTTCCAGCCCCCGTGACATGCAGGAAAGGGCAGAGATTCTTCTGGAAGACCCATTACAACCTCTCTTCCAGTGCTGGGAAGAAAGAAAACTCACTTTCAGATATGTGTGAGTGTCTTGTGTAGCTTGGGGGAGTCTATGTTCCCTGCACATGTATAGGTGCACACAGCGTCCACATGTATGCAGAGGGGAGGGGAGGGGAGGGCAGGAGTGTCTCCTTCTCCTGCTCTCTTCCTAGGGCCTTACTAGGGTCTCCCACAGAAAGGGAAGCTCATCATTTTGGCTAGGCTGGCTAGCCAGCAAGCTCTCAGAATCTGCCCATCTGTGGGGGGAGGGGCTACCCACCACACCCACATTTCCTCAGAGTGCTCTTGAGTAAGAGCAGCAGGAAATATTAGAAGGATTTAGAGTGTGGAGATAAACAGATAGAAAATATAGGATAGCCTCAGGAGGGCCTGGAACCTATTCCATTGGGCTGACTATCTCTCCCTAGGGTATTTAAAGGAATGCCAAAGGGTGGAGCAAAAGACCTCCTCCCAGCACAGCCCAGTGCAGACCATCTCAGACACCTGCACTCAGGCCCGTGGTCCAATCATCTTCTCCATGCAGACCTGCTGGGTAAAGCCACTAGGAAACCTGAAAACGGGCTCCCATACCCATCTTCCCACTCAACCTCTAATCTGGGGTTACAGGAACATGCAGCCATGCCTAGCTAATTACACAGATGCTGGATATTCAAAATGAGCCACCTCCAAGCCCTAATTTTGGATTCTTTAAAACATATTTTTCTGTAGTCCACATTGGCCCAGAACTTGAAGACCAGGCTGGCATAGATGTTGTGGTCTCCTCTGACATACCTTCGAAGTACTGGGATTACACACGTACCACAATACCTGCCTCTCATGGTCGCCATTCTAGTGTTGTGTAATGAGTTCTGCTCCTTTCCATGATTGGGACTAAAACCTTATAGAAATGGACTGCTTAGGTTTGATGTAGCCAACAGCTGTAGCCTTCTGAACTTTTGGGTAATGGGGCACACAGCTGTTTAACCTGTCCTACAAGGATCTTGGCCTGCTCAAAAGAATCTTGATATTTCTATGCCAATTCCATATAATATCATTCAAGTTATATAGAGGATGTGTAGCTTTGGAAAGATGGGGTATGAAAATCTGCCAATATCCCAAGAGCCCCCCAAATGTTTCTAACTCCTTTACATTTACATATATGAGCTGTTGTAGGATTTTCTCAACAACATTGTCATATACATTTCTTACCAGATCATAATACCCCATGAATTTTACAGCTGTGTCTGGGCCCTATACCTTGTGTGGATCTCACAGCCTTCTTCCTTTAGATGTGCCTGTATGTTTCTCCCATGGCTTTCTGAATCTGCAAACACTCAGAGGTTAGCATCATGCCACTTATGTAAGAAAACCTTCTCCAAAAGATGGGCATGTCACAGCAACATCCTGAGCCACCATCCCACAACCAATAGTGCAGTTAAGATAACTTTGGTGAAGCGCTCTGAAAGTCCACTGTCACAGATTCTGAGCAAGTGCCAGGTGATCCCAGAAACTTACAACTCTGAAGGTACTAAAGTCCAACATAATCAAGGTCTAAGACTGTGGAAAGTTTCCATCCATTTCTATCGGTTGCTTCCTCTGCAGATCAAGGTTGAGTCCAAAAGCATGGAAAGGAGGAGCTAACATAATTAGCTCTCTGTACTCCTCAGTCATTCTCTCTGAGCCGTTACATTTCCCTATCCTAGTGATCTTCCATGGCTCCTCTGTTCATCTCTCCACCCTTGATGAACTCAGCGGGTCTGACTGAATTTGTTTAGACCTCCCCTGGGACAAGAGGGAACATGGCCTTGCTCTCCCCTGCTGCACCTGCTGGATCCCTGGGTCCAAGAGGCCCCGAATTGGCACTGTACCTGTAGCCATAGCTGTTGCCTCTCCATTCACCAGAGCATGGCTGGGCAAACCATTTCCACCCCCAGCATTGCCCATTACGGGAAAGAAATATCCCTCCTCAGTCTGGGGAGGATAATTATCCATTCCTGAGACAGGCTTGGCTGTCCTCACCTGCATTGTTCCATCACAGACGTCTTCTGTGACACCTCCTTGGGCTTTCAAGGCTCCCAGTAGCTCCTTAGCCTAGGATTTGGTTATCAGTGTTTTTCCGTAAGAACTCTGGATCCAAACAAAAATAGCCACATTTGTCTTGAAGTAAGCAATACAGACCTTTCTTCCTTTTCTTTTCTCCCCTTGGTTTCTCTCTCTTTACAGACACTTGATGTCACTAGATCTGAGAAAGACTTGCCCATTTTATAAAGATCCTGCCCCTCCAAGGGGCTCAGAACAGTTGCTAAAGCACCAGACCAGCCTTGAGGTCCCTGCTGGATCAAAGTCTTCTTTAACTCTGTCAACATAGTTCTATCTGCCTTATGGAGTGGGGTTCAAGCACAGCTTCTATCCCCAGTTTGCTCAAGAGCCTCTGCCCCTCCTCTGTGGTCCACCACCCCTGGCATTTACTCGGACCTCAGATGGAGATCACCAAGTGTTCCCAAAGGCTCTAATAAGCCAGCTCATCAGGGAATTATTTCCCTCATACTGTCTCACTTAATGCAGCCTTTGCCTTCAGGAGGGATAGGTAGTCACGTCACTCAGTTCTTCTGCAGTTAGACTGACCCCATCCATGTCCCAGCGCCTCACAAGCCAACCTGTGTCAGGTCTTTTGCTGCTTGTTTAAAAGTCTGTTCTAATTCCAGCTGTTTAAGGGCTGGGTATTTCCTTCTGGCCCTCGTTTCTTGGTCAGAGCTATTGTTAAGGTCCTCATCTGCATCGGAACACATAGCTCCCCCTTTTAGAGGCCTGAAGGGCATCTTCTGTTGCTCTTACCACTCTCTCATCCTCTCACTTATCTAACTTACTTGCCCTGTAGGAGGCCAACACTGAGGATGCTAGCTGCATCTCCCTTTCTTATTGTAATTCCTCCTTTACACAATTTCCTGTGTGGCCACCCTATCAGCTTCCGATGCATTTCTTCTACACAAAAGAGTGGGCAGGCAACTTCTGCCATTGCTTGCATACAAACTCTGT